TTGGGAAACTCTCTGATAAATAATTATCTTACCAAGCACTTAGGGTAAGTGAGACTTCAGTCAAGATTCGTTTTAGGCCGAACATGGAACTTCATGTTTCTGTTTACAGTACAGTATACTGTAATTTATAGGGAGAAGGAGGGAAAAGAAATAGAAACCTTTATTCTATTACATTTCCCTTGTAATACTAGATTTTTTAGTATTTTGACTAATATGACCCCCCCCAACCCCAAAAAATAAAAAATAAATAAATAAACAAATTACCAAAAATATTGGTTATTCAAAGTTGGCAGGGCTGTGAAGGAGAGGGAAAATGTGAGGCAAAAGTACAGGAGAAAACCGGAGGTCGGGAAACCTGTGATATTTGATAGGGTCACACTGGATTACACCCTTCTCACATGTGTCTGGGCCCGAACCCTTGACATATTGGTGAGAGATATGCACATTATTGCTGTAGTGTACTTTAAACTAAAGTGAATGTATGCGATACTTCAAAACATATTTTTATATTTGGTAAAATTATCGTTTCAGTTTTCCACCTAATTGGAAGTTGAAATTAATCTTTCAAAACACATCAAAAACCATCAGAAAAACGTAATTTCAACCACACCCAACCTAATCTAAACCTAACCTGCTGGATGACCAAAACAATAATACCTTATTTTCTTTTTAACTGGACATTTTGGAGGATTTTTTTTATAGGAATACAGTACAGTGGTCCCTCGGTTAACGATCGCCTCGGTTAACGAGATTTCGGTTAACGATTTACCTTCCATAAGATTCTTAACTTCGGTTAACGAGTAATCCCTCGATTAACGATTTTTTTACGAGCCGACTTCAACATGTTTTCGCTTACATTTGGCGGTCCACCAGCTGTAGTATTAGTCCGCCAATACAGTTATCGGTTTTAGGGCTTAAATGCCTTACTATTTTAGTAAATATCAAGAAGTTTATACTATTCAATAATTTTAAAAGTTTAATATTAACTTTTTTAGTAATTTTTACAATTATTGAACATAATTGAAGGTAAAGAAACTAGTTTCTGGCGTGCCATCCAGCATGTTAACACACCAGACAGGCGTTAGCCTCTCTCTGTTTTCAGTGGAGGTAACATCTTACTTGAGACTCTCTTCAACTAAACGCTTTTTTTTCTGTGTTTCCAAGCAAATTATTGGTCATTTTGAAATATATTTTACATATTGACAATATATAATGCAGTGCAGTGTTGATTTAAAGAAAATAATCTTGAAATACACCAAGAGAACTAAAATTTTAAGGGTGAAATGGTGCCATGGGGTGACTTCTCTTCCACCCCAATGCCTTCTCTTCTTCCTTCTCCACCCCCATTTTAATTCCCATCATCATCATCATCATCATCATCCAGGAGCCTTCTACATACACACCTCAAAGTAAGTGTACTTTTCTACCTTTTTTGTTGAATTTAGGCTATTTTCGGTGAGCTGGAACCAATTACCCAAAAACCCATTGAAACAATGGTTTCGGTTAACGAGTTTTTCGGTTAACGAGCAACCTGCTGGAACGAATTGTGCTCGTTAACCGAGGGACCACTGTACTGTATAGCTTTTACAATGGGAATCTTTGTGAAAATGTGATCTGATATACTGTACCAAAAAAAAAATCAAGAATAGAATCCTTTCATAACTCAGGAGTGCATATATTTACAGTACATCACTTATAAATTAACATTTATAAATGTGCAAAAAACATCAAACTTAAAGCATAATATTGTAATTAGGTCTTCCTTGCTTTCAGAGGCAGAGGCCCATAACTCAGCTTGAATTTCTTTGTCTTCTTCCTCTTTCTGCCTATATTACCCTGTAAGGAAAGGCACAGAATTTAGAGAGATGCACATATGCTCCTGTTTGCTAAATGAGTTGATGCACAATTTATCAAAACATTTACAGCCATTAAATTTCTTGTTCTGAGCAAAAAGTGAATGGGAGGGCACTCTTCATCATTGAAAATGTATATACAGTTGTCCCTTGGTTAACGAGCACAATCCGTTCTAGAAGGTTGCTCGTTAACCGAAACCGTTGTTTCAAAGGGTTTTTGGAGTGGTGGTTCCAGATCTCAAGCTCAACTGAAATGAAAAAACTAAAATAGAGTGGAAAGAAAAGGAAGAGAAATGAGGTGGAAGGAAAATTTCATGGTGTAGTCAGGTGCAAAAAAAAAACCTCCCACAAAGACTGACGCCTGTATGGTGTGTTGGCAGGCTGGATGGCGCGCATAAAACTAGTCACTTTACCTTCAATTGTGTTCAATAATTGTTAAAATGACTAAAAAATTTAATATTAAAATTTTAAAACTGATTGTTTAAGTCTGGAAGAAAAAACTTTGTTGTGTTAAACAAATGCGCTAGATTAACCGGATAAGAATCTTATGGGAGGTAACTGGAATTAACAGTCTCATTCTTTGAGACTCACCTCTTTTATTAGGTTAAAAGTGTTCTTGAAATCTAGTTTGCCTAACACTTCATTCATCGGGATCATCAGCCTGTACCATTATACTGATGGATTAAGGCCTCTTGTGTGGTTCCAGTTATTTCTGCTCCGCCCACTGAGCACTTCCAAACTTCATGTCGCGATCACAGCAGCTCTTCAACCCTATACATTATTGAGAACATTTCCTATTGAATTTATGGTAAAATAAGGAAAGAGAAGTTTGGCTGAGCTTTAAGATTTTTTCATGTCATTATAAGATTGACAGCATAAACCAATTTTTTTTAAATATTTATTCAAGTACTGGTACCTGTAGTCTAAGTTTAGATTGTACTCTAGTATCTAATCTTGAGACAAGATAATTTAGACGCTAATCTGAAGTTCCTTCAAGGGCAATATATTGTGATAATTCTTTTAACAAGAAAAGTTACTACTGTATGTGAGCATAAATTTGGACAGACTTAAAGAAAACCAATTATCTGGAAATATAAATGTTCAGAAATTGGGGGTGCTGGAAAGGTACAATCGCTAATGGTATTTGGAAACATTACAGCGGTACATGTATTTAAAGTGCTGTTACCCGATACTAGAGAAAATCATACCTGGTACTTTTCTTATTTAAAAGTAAAAAAATTTAACCTATGATATTAGCTAAAAGGGTTATGACACAAGACCTGGAATAATTAAAAAAAAAAAAGCTAAACATCCCTCCCAGGCAGTAGCTAGCAGGCTTGTGGCTAACACAAATTGTTTTATACTCATAAATTGTGAAATGTATGGGTAGTGATTAGAGGACTAGTATGCATGACAGAAACACGTTTGAGATGGTGTAAAGAGTTAAGTGGTGGTGGTAGCTTGAGATGCAGGGCTAGACTAAGACAGATTTGGGGCTCCATTGACCACTGGCCCCCTTCCCTGCTCGTTAACATCCTGTGGTAAATTCCATTGGTGGGCTAAGTGAAAGAACACTATACTGTACACTCTTGTAATATTTTATTAGGCTTCTTATAAATCACATTAATTGAACTGAATATCACATTTAAAATTTAAATAACTGTCTGACCATACTGCCATGGCTCCCCCTTCTTTGCCATTTATAGTTGCTACCAGGACTGTATTACAAAAAAAATCCATGGATGCAGTCATAGAAGCTAATTTACCTCCATTCTAAATGTTCTCAGGCTGTTTTTACCAATCACCTAAAGGTTTCGATCTCTCTGCCTTTCCCTGCCTATCCTATCCTGAACTTTGCCCATTAATATTGATGTGATTATCCCTAATTATGTGACCAAAGTAGAGGTAGACCACCTCATATCCGGCAATCAGTAATCCGGTTCCACCGCCGGTTCGGACATAATTTGGCCACCGTATTTTCAAATTTCGCGCCGGTCTCCTCGCCAACCCGCCGCTACTGTTTGGTGGCGCCACTAGCTGACTCGGCTGTTGGCACGGTGTTTGAGGAGCGGCAAGTTATTCCTCTGTGTTATTCTTCATTTATTATTATAAACTGCTCTTATTTAGCCCCAGTCATGTCTTCATTGAATAAAGGAAATGCTTCTCGTGGTGTAAAGTGCAAACACCATACGTTGTCTATACAAGATAAGGTTGAACTTCTCAAAAAACTCAACAGTGGTGTGTCCGTTGCAGCATATGCGACTTGTATACCATTGGCCTTCCACAGTGTATGACATAAAAAAACAGAAAGGAAAGCTGCTCTAGTTCTTTGCTGATAGTGAATCAAAGAAACAGATGTCCATAAGGAAAACATTGAAAGATGGAAGATGTTCACAGCTAGATAAAGTTCTGATAAAGTTGTTTAAACACCACGTTAGTGAAGGTGTGGAACTGTCCGGGGAGATGGTGAGGGAGCAAGCAAAATTATTTCATGCAGAATTAGGAATAGATTATGCGTGTGATTATACTGAACGGTGGCTTCAGCGGTTCAAGCAGCGACATGGGATAAAGTTTCGTGCAGTGTGTGGTGAAAAAAGGTCGGCGGACAAGGAAGCAGTTGTTGCGTTTGTAGACGAGTTCGCTTAGTTAGTTTCGGATGAAAATTTAAGTCCCGAACAGGTCTACAATGCAGACGAAACCGCCATATATTGGTGTTGTGCTCCCGGGCGAACACTGACTACTGACGATACATAATTACCAAGAGGTTATAAAGCATCAAAAGATCGTGTCACTGTGTTGGGCTGCTCTAACACTGCAGGAACCCACAGGTGTAAGTTGTTAGTCATTAGCAAAAGTTTACGCCCCAAAGCCTTCAAAGGTATGAAACAGTTTCCAGTTATTTACTGTGCTAACAAAAAGGGATGGATAACAACTGACATTACATTGAATTGGTTCGAACATTACTTTGTTCCAGCAGCAAGAGCGCTCATTGTGACTGTTGGTTTGAAAAAAACTAAGATAATGCTGATTTTAGAAAACTGCTCTGCACATCCAAAAGCAGAACTCTTGGCGAAGAATAATATTTACGGTATCTACCTGCCACCTAACTGTACATCATTAATTCAACCCCTGGACAATGGCATATTACGGCTACTGAGTGCATGTAACTCTGGCAAACCAGTAAATGAATTTATGAAAGAATGTTATATGAGAGATGTGATTTATGGAGTTGCAAATGCTTGGCAGTCAGTAGAATCATCAACATTGAAAAACGGATGGCATTTGTGGCCAGCTTTATTGTTCAGTTCTGCACCTGGTGAGGAAATTGGAAATGAATTTACGGGATTTAGGGTTTCAAGTCAAAATCAGATTGTACGTGAACTGCTTTCTTATGCTCAAGATCTCGGTAATCCTACTGCGAAGGAAGCTGCATCGAGGCTGGATGCAGATAACATTAACGAGTGGATGGGTGTTGATGATGATGAATCAACTGTTCATCATTATACTGACGTTGAAATTGTTCAGATGGTTGTAAATCCAAAGACAAACAGCAGTGGGGGAGAAAGTAATGATGAAAACTAGGAAGAGGTAGCTGAAAGAGTGTCCATTGATAAGTTAGTTGAGCTGACAGGTGAATTGATAAAAGGTCTCGAACAACGCACTTTTGTTACTGAACAGGAAATAATGAATGTTTACATGTTACAAGAAAAACTAATCAAAGAAAGACCAAAATACATGAAACAGGTTAGCTTGCAGGATATGTTCAGAAAAATAGCAGAGAAATCTGTAAGACAGGAGTCAACACTTTTTAGATGAAACACACGACAGTCTTGATGACCCCCTGCTTTCAGGCATGTAACTCTGCTTAGTTGTACAATCCAACTCTTTACTTTGGAAGTGGCAATAACCAACCTTCTGATGTAAGTAAATACAGATACCTTGTGTTAACGCTCATAGGAGCGTTATTGATTTGGGTTGGAGAATAAGACCCTCAACGATGACACGTACCATATAATTCGTTCAAAACCTGTTAAAGAACAATTCACATATAACAAATGCTGTTATCTCAGGACACACAGTATGAATAATACAATCAATGTACAGTACATAGCCTGTTAAATATAACTCACATGTTACAACTGTTGATACATCAGGAGACAATTTGTATTATATTATCAAAATACAGTACGTAAATATACTTATTAAGGTTATTTAGAGTTTTTTAGAGGATTTAATAGTTCACAATCACACTCACGTTTTAGGGTCTATGGTTTGACCAACGAGAGCTGGTGTAATATCCTCTTGGTAAAGGTATATGTTGTACAGTGGTCCCTCGGTTAACGAGCACAATGAATTCCAGAAGGTTGCTCGTTATCTGAAACCATTGTTTCAATGGGTTTTTGTGTAATTGGTTCCAGCTCACCGAAAATTACATGCAAACTAAAAATAAATGCAGTAAAGTACACTTACTTTGAGGTGTGCATGTAGAAGGCTCCTGGTTGATGATGATGATGGGGAATTAGAATGGGGGTGGAGGAGAAGGGAGAAGAGAAGGCATTGGGGTGGAAGAGAAGCCACCCCATGCTGCCATTTCACCCATAAAATTTTAGTTCACTTGGTATAATTCAAGATTATTTTCTTTAAATCAACACTGCACTGCACGATATATTATCAATATGTAAAATCTATTTCAAAATGACCAATAATTTGACTGGAAACGCAGAAAAAAAGCCTTTATGTTGAAGAGAGTCTCAAACAAGATGTTCCTTCCTCTGAACTGGTAAACAAACTGACGCCAAGCTCTGTGTGTTGAGTGGCTGTTTGGCGTGCAAAAAATTAGTTTCCTGTACTTCAATTATATTCAATAATTGTTAAAATTACTAAAAATTTTAATATAAAACTTTTAAAATTATTGAATAGTACAACCTTCTTGATATTTACTAAAATGGTAAGGAATTTAAGCCCTAAAACCGATTACTGTATTGGCGGACTAATACTACAGCTGGTGGACCGCCAAATGCAGGCGAAAACATGTTGGGAAAATTCATAAGGAATTCGTTGACTGGGGGTTTGCTCGTTAGCCAAAGTGAAGAATCTTATGGAAGGTAATTCGTTAACCGAGGGATCACTGTATATGTTAGTTGAACGAAAGGTGTTGTCTCTCTCTCTCTCTCTCTCTCGTTTATCTTACTGTGGCAGTAACACCTAGTAAGGTATTTTGCCTGTATATACAGTATACATACTTCAATAAATTTCACTTGCTTTTCATTTGTTGTTTCTTTTCATTACCCAACTTGTACTATTTACAGAGTATTTTAAAGGTAGGGTGAGGTAGTTATGAAGTGGGTTAGAGGTGTTTATTTATTTAATCCTAACCTAATCACCTGTGGTTTGGCAAAATCACTAATCTGGCACTGCTCAGGACCCAATCAGACCGGATTTGAGATGTACGGTAGTTCAATGGTGGATATTAATAGATATTTGGTCGTTTTACAGTACTGTACAGTATCTATTTATTTATTTATTTTTTATTTTTTTAATGGACATGGCCATGTACTGTAACCTATGTGTCTTTAGTGTTTATTACTGCACTGTCTAACAACTAACATGATTAACAGTGATGGTCTATGATGGGTCGAGGGAGGCGTCTGGCCCTTGGCATCTTTGTCCTGCTGGTGGTCGACGTCATTTGGGTGGCTTCATCAGAATTGTCGGAGGTATTATTTTCTTACATCATGTTCAGTTTTTGTCTGTGATATAACATGAGAAAAATATAGTAAGTTACAGAGTTTACTTGCTGTACCAGTTCATTTCTACATTCAGAGTTGCCTGAAAAGCTCATGCTTGCATTACAGTATCTATATTGAAGACACTGAGTACCATACATCTCAACAGCCTTGAATATGAAAAACCGCACAACTGTTTTCTAAATGTTTGTTGAAGAGAGACTGGAAGTAACGGAGAGATTGAGTAGGGGTGGAAGAGGTCATGGAGGAACCTGTTGAAAAGATTAAGAGAGAGAATGAAGTCTGTTCCCTACCACATTCTGACCATTAGAATTTTACTAACCACAGTGACTTTGAGAGCAGAATGTCTGGAAAAAAGGATACAAGGAATACTAAATTTAGAAATAAGATGTGCAAATAAAAGGAGACTAACCAGGTTTCTTGAGATGGTGTGGACAGGTTGAGAAGACGGGGGAACAAGGATTAAAAAAAAAGAAGTAAATGGTAGGAGAGAAAGTGGAAGACCAAAAAGGAGATGAAAGAATGGGCTGGTGTATTTAATGGATAAAACGGGAATAGACAACAGGGAAGAAGCAGAGATCATGGTGTTGAGTAGTTTATGGGGATGGACCTGCCTCTGAGGGGTGGTATTAGGTTTACTAAAGTAATGTGGGTAAAGCAGATGGAAATCTTTAGATTGTGTTGTGGAAGGGAAGCACTGTAGCAGAACACATCTTATGCACAAGTTATTAATGAATGATCAGCAGCAAATAATGGGAGGGTATCTGTTTCTCTTGAGCCTGAAACACTTTCTTTTTAGTATACGCTGTTTGTAACATTAAGAGAAAATAAATATATAGTATAAGGGATGAAAAATAATAGACTTTTTTATATTTTTCAAATTTTATTTTCAGTATATCTTCAATGATACCGGCTTCAATAAACCTTTTTTCAGTACATACTTAAAGACCAGTATGTTTTCACTATATTTGCTGGGATTTATATTTTGGAGCCCCTGGAGACACCAATGTGCCCAAAGAAACCACGATGAGAGTATTTACCAGGTAAGTTATTTATTGCAATTCATATTAGATTATTTTTTTGATATTTTTTATATGTGATATGGAAATAAATTTATTTTAGGGTAATTGTGTTGCTCTTTTTTCTGTGTTAACTAGACTTGAGTCATGCTATACATACTGTAGAATATTTACTGATTACAAAAGGCATTGGTTATTCCTTTTATTTCCAAGGCCTCCAGACCACCATTTTATTTCATAACTTTGCCTTCTCTTTCCCCCTTATCCCCTTCACTTCCTCTTGTGCTGAATAGAATCATCTGGCATTAGCCAAATGAAATATTTAAGAGACAATGAAGGGGTTAATACAGTAAAACCTTTATCGTTTATCAATCAATACTTTACAAATTGGCTAGTTCATACATGCAGTTCAATGTGTGTTATGTTCACCAAAAATTAAATATTTTACACTTCCATCAATATTGCAAAATATAAAATTAAAAATATAAGAAAATGTGTTCAACAAAAAACAATAGCAAAGCAAGTAGTGATGTACAGTATGTTCATTGTACAGCCCATTCTTCCTGCATCACCTGAAGAGGCACTGGGAGGGAGTGTATATTAATATGAAGTGAAAAATGTATTGTCAAAGCACTTGGTCAGTAATGTGTCCAAATTTAAGCTTTCTAGCTCAAAAATTTCCATAAATAACATCCAGACAACATTAAGTGTTGAGTTGAGTATGCTTCTAATATTCTCTTGCTATTACAGGAAGTGGATTCAATGGAGGATGAAGATTTACCGCTGTCAGACGTTTGGTATGTTGAATTGTACTTGCCATTTGGAGTTGTGATGAAATACAGTATTATGTTGATGTAATTGTGAATGGGTGCTTGTAGTACTTAATTGTATTATTAACTCCTTCACTTCAGTGTTCAAATTATGCAAAGTTTAAATAGATTTTGCGCCTTAATCCTTACAATAATTTTGTGTCATTTATATTAAGGTGATACAGCAATTATTAAAGCATAATATTTCATAGCTAAATAGAGTAATTTCTTACTGCTGGCTTTGTTCCAACAATTTCAGAAAGAGACTCAATTATAGCCTCAAATCTGGTGTAAAAGCATGTTGTTGATAAGCCTCCAAACTCCTCATTGCTCATGTCCCTCATTGTTATCTCTACCATTAGCATTGGGGAGTTCTGATGGTCAGTCGTCATTGTTATTGTCACTGCTGTCGATACCTTTCTTTTCTATATCTCTAAATTAGGTGTAAATTAATGTAAAAATAACAGTAAATTTATTGTGTGGCAGTTGTGGTAAGACTGGTGGAGGAGTGTGGTGTTTTTTTTATGAGGAAAAGACAATTGTTTGAAGACCAGGTTGGGCAAAGTGTTTTATAACCATTTTCCACGCTTGTGTGGATTAGCCGTGATTATCTGATGGCAACTTTCCATTCTACAGTCTTTTGCATTCCCTCTTGTCAGGTTCTTAACTCTTAATGTCATTTCTTACAACCTCTCCCCATGTCATTCTTGGCTCTTCTCCCCCCACATTTAGACTCATACACCTCTTGACCTAATTAGTGTGATTCATTCTCCAAAATTCCAAACCATCTCAGCATACTGCTACACAGAATTTTGCCAATAGAACTCAATACCAGCCACCCTCTTACCTCTGAAAAGGATTTTTTGTCTTTCAGTGCCACATTGCATATCCACCTCACTAGTCTCATTTAACTTGATGGATAAATGTATTGCAACTGCATAGGTTGTAGTAGAGTGGTGTGGTCCAAAATTGTTTGGGTACACCTGTTTAAAATTTGCATGACAGGAGAAATTATGTATTAATGAATATATGTAGCACATAGTGAAAAGTGTTCACTTACTTAAAAATTTCTTCTATACAAAAGTCTATTCAGTATACAGACTGCATATAGTGAGGAATATCTATACTTAAACACTTGTCAAAAGGTTACTTTTAACAAGTTTTATGAACAATCTGTAACCCAGAGAATACATTAATTCTTTAGAAGTTGCTATTTTGCATGACCTGGCATTTTCTGAGAATGCAGCTACTGCACTGTGTGGAGTTTTACTGTGCTCAGAAACCTTCACCTAAGTCATTGATGAGGACCTCAGATGACTACGTACCTGAGGCTGATTACCCCCATTTTGTTATTTATTTTTTTCCCAAGTTTTTATCCATTTTATTATTATTATTTTTTACAGGGATTAGCCCACCCGGGCACAGGTCACTGACCCACATCGGGGCCTGGGGGCGAAAATGTCAGGAAATCTTAATCAAATTTATGGAAAATATTTTTTAATGTTTTACCAATAATTATCAGGGTTTATACTGATTATTGTAATGTATATTATAGAAGTATTTATTTTTATTACTCTTCTTATTAATATGAAGCTCTTGCAGACGAGAGACAGGCGCACCCCTCCACCTGTGCCCATCTTCACTTTGGACCAGCTGGCATCTAGTGTTGCGAGAGACAGTGATGCGAATGCTCAACTGACACATTTGGTCCTGTGGCACTATTTACCCATTCAACAAGCTAGAACGATTTATAACAACAATGATGAAAAGGTGTCTCTAAATTATTTTTGCCAGTCATATGTTCAGGAGTTGTTAGCATTCAAAGATATGAAGTTAAGAATGCATTATAGGAAGAAAATTTTGTTGAAGAATTGGAAAATAAATTGGCATTCAACTCAAAAATTAAAACAAATATTTATTGGGGTTTATGATGATAGAAATATGAAAAATGAGGGAGTGAATTTAGAACTTAAATGAGAATAAATTGCGTGTGAAATGTAAAATCTACTTTTGGGGGAGGATTAGTAGTTGTGTGTGTGATCTGTTGTATCAGGTCATTAGGGTAAAGTACAATGATGAAATTTTTAATAAAATTTTTAGTTATAGATTTTGTTGAAAATAATAATGTGTGAAAGAAATTCACCATTGTTGTAATGTTCTGTGAGAGGGAAGTTGTACTGAAGATAGAATTATATTTGTTGAATGTGTGTTTAACAGTTTTGATAATAAGAAAGTATAAGTTAAAGGTATATTACTGTAAGGAATGACATTTTTAGGATATCTAATGAAGGGGAAATTCGGAACTGAAAAGGTCCGCTCCAGTCTATTATATTGTTGTGTGTACTTTACATAAAATGGATAAAAACTTTGATTTTTTCTTTTTGTTTGAGATGGTTTTGTCATAAAAATTTACATTTGAGAGAGATCTGTATAACAGTATTCTCAACCTCTTGGTGCTTGGCATAACATGAACAGTGGAGATTATTGTTAATCCACTTGAATTACGATACCTGTAGTATTTAACCAAGTCATTAGTGCTAATTCAGCATATGGGTCCAGTTAGAGCTGAGGCCAAAGTGGTTAAGACCCAGACACTGAGTCAGAGACAATTTAATTTTTTTATGCCAAGATAATGGCTGCCAGACTGATATTAGATATTTAGAAATGACAGTTGATCAACTGTTCAGTGTTTTCCGGGTGTTTTTGTATGTTTGTAAGCATAATTCCTCTGACCCTTGCTTCATGCGAGGATTACATTCTGCAAAAACTTCGCCTGACTTGAAATCACAAAGTGAATTCTTAATCTTATGGGGATGTGTTCTACAACCATTTTGGAGCCCCTCTACCTTAATTCTGGCACTTTTTCATAACGACAATAAAAGACAACAGTAATGCTATAAAAGTTGAGGAAAAATCATTATAATATTCTAAGGTGGCCTAGAAATAATTAATATGCAATAAACTATAAACTAAGAAAAGC